GGGGGGGGGGGGGGGGGGGGGGAGAAAAGGGATATTTCCCCATTTGCCACTGGAAAATTAAACCAGATCTAAGGGGTGTTTTCCTTCCCACAATCTATTGCAGAGATAAACTCTCGTGTAACTCTTTGTCCCCTACCGCAGCTTTGTGCTGTTTTAGCCATGATCTTATATCCCAAGCTACATTATAATTACAGTCCAGTGGATGGTATTTTCTTGTCAATTTCTGGCAAGTTAAAGTAAACAGAATCAGGCCATACACATTACTCCTTAATTAAAGCTGTTTTGAGAACAGACTCCATTTACCAGTGAGATACTGAATTGTGAGGAGGGAAGTCAATTTTTGTTGATTTTGATCAAACCAGCTTTTCAGCCAGAAGGATCTGAAATCTCAGGGAAATTAAGAAAAGTTAAAGTTAGGAGCTGATTATTTCTAGCATTCATGGGTTGGGTTTTTTTAAGTACAATTCATTAGAATGGACTATGATTCCCACCCTTATGTTCTCTCCCCCCTCCCCCCCCATTCCTCTCCAAAACACAGAGGCAGACTGTCGAGCTAAAGTATATTTAACATGGTGGCAAAGAAATCAATCCAAATCCCTTCCCCTTAAATATTATAAAAAGACAATTAAAAACCTTACAAATGGATAATTTATACATTCTACGAGTGAAAAATAGGACTGAAGCCAGCATTCATTGGTGGGGGGAGGGGGGGTAGGTTCTATACATTTAATTTTAGTGCTTCCCTCTCTTTAATACTGTAGTTATTAGGGAAACGTTTAAAGTATGCAGTGGCAGAATGTTGTTCATTTTTAAAATCTAGTTCTAAATATTCTCCTCTGCAGTTTATTGTTTGTGCAGTAAGCCACAAAAGATTTTTAGAATTTAAAATAAAGTTGTAACATATTGGCCAATCCTGGAAATTAAAAATAAAAAAGTTGTAAGAGCAGTGATTAAGAATTCTGCAACAGGCATTTCCCCACCACATCACTGCCAAACATGGAGTTACAAAAGAGTCTTCACCTTTATTTCACAGAAAAATCTGTTAAACTTTCTAGGAGTTTTCAGATGTAGGATTCCAGAACACATCAGCAAACACTGAAAAGGCACAGTAACCCTCTGGGGGTTTTCTTTGTTTTTTTTGCAAGCAGTAACTTTAAAATGAGAGCCACTTCCCCTCCCCCCCCCATAAGTAAAAAGATCCTTCCCAACCCACTTATTGCTTAAAATGATGCCTACCTGAATGAAAGAGCACCACACCACAAAAATCTCAAGTGTCAATTGCTAAGGTTTTATAATTTGGATTACAGCTCTTGAGTTAGGAAAAAACCCTCAGAAGTAGGGTTTGGGGGTTTTGTTTGTTTTTAAACTCAGTTGTACTTGCAAAGAACAGACTGCTTACTAAGGACATGTAGTTTAGAAAGAAACTTCTGTACACAGCATTTGGGGAGAGAGAAATGTACAATGCCAGAGAAGTAGCTTTAAGGCAAAAGTTAAAGAAGGGGGTTGATAAAAGCGCTGAACTGGGGTGTGCTTTCTTCATGAATCAATCCCACGTGCCTTTCACTGGAGTCTAGTTGGGTAGAAGAGCCTTAGCAAAAACCATTACCAGATCCTCAGAGCCAGGCCACCCCACTCAAGTCAGCTGCTAGGATAAGAGGGGGAGGCAGCCCCTCTTCATAAGTCTCTTCATATTAAAAAAAGCTTCTTGGTAAACTTCCAAAAGAGGGAGAAGGATACTTTAAAACAAATAAAATCAAAGTCTGCCTTTAATACAGAACAGCTTCCAGAATGTGCCCATCAGGGGAAACGCGATTACAGGTCTGGTTTTTATGGAAGTTCAACTGAAAGCATTCCCCCACAGCCAACACAAACAGAAAATCCGTCTCTATGGCTCCATTGAGAGGGGAGAGATTGCCAAGGCCGAGAAAAGGGAAAAAACCCGACACTTTAGTACCAAAGAGAGGCGGCGAGCCGAGCCGCTCCTCCCCAAGAGTTTCTGGATCTCTGCGGGTTGCCTTTTGTTTTTAAATAGAAATATATAATTCCATTTACAAATGCTATTTACAGGTCTAATTACAAGACACCCTTGGACGTTAATGAACCTAAAAAAAAAATCAAAAGGTGGTTTAGATTCGAATAAAAAAAGTTTTAAATACTTTCCTCCCCCGCCCCCCTCGGCCCGCTCCCCTCCTGCCTGCAGCGCGGCTCCGGGTCTGGCCCGCCCGGCTCACACCGTGGTCTCGCCGTGCCGGCTGTGGGTCAGGCGGGTGTAGAACTTCCGCCAGGAGTGCAGCGTCTTGCCGGACCAGATCCAGAAGCCCGAGGTGATGCCCACGATGAGGGTCATGAGGTACTTGATCATGTAGACGGTGAAGTCGGGGGTCATGCGCGGCGCGTAGTGCAGCGGGCAGGGGATGGCCAGGCTCTTGCAGTGCTGGCTGACCCAGCTGCGCTCCCAGTGCTCGCGGAAAGCCTGCTCGTAGAAGTAGCAGGCGATGACGATGGTGGCGGGCACGGTGTAGAGGACGCTGAAGACCCCGATGCGCACCATGAGCCGCTCCAGCTTCTCGGTCTTGGTGCCGCCGTGCTTCATGATGGTGCGGATGCGGAAGAGCGAGACGAAGCCGGCCAGCAGGAAGGAGGTGCCGATGAAGAGGTAGACGAAGAGCGGGGCCAGCACGAAGCCGCGCAGCGGGTCCAGGCTGTGCAGCCCCACGAAGCAGACCCCGCTCAGCAGGTCCCCGTCCACCTGCCCCATGGCCAGGATGGTGATGGTCTTGACGGCCGGCACGGCCCAGGCGGCCAGGTGGAAGTACTGCGAGTTGGCCTCGATGGCCTCGTGGCCCCACTTCATGCCGGCGGCCAGGAACCAGGTGAGGGACAGGATGACCCACCAGATGGAGCTGGCCATGCTGAAGAAGTAGAGCATCATGAAGAGGATGGTGCAGCCCTCCTTCTTGGTGCCCTGCACCACCGTGCGGTACCCGTCCTCCTGGAACCGCTCGTTGCACACCACGCGCTCCTGCAGCACGAAGCCCGCGATGTAGGCCACCGACACCATGGTGTAGCAGCCCGACAGGAAGATGATGGGCCGCTCCGGGTAGCGGAACCGCTGCATGTCCACCAGGTAGGTGGTGACCGTGAAGAAGGTGGAGGCGCAGCAGAGCACGGACCAGACCAGAATCCAGAGCCGGGCGAAGCGCACCTCCTCCTGGCTGAAGAACATGTGGCCGTCGCCGCGGGCCGGCTCGCAGGGCGCCGCGCAGTCCTTCTCGCCCAGGAACTTGTAGTTGAGGTAGCTGGGCACCTGCAGCGCCCGCGGGCAGTAGAACGGGTGCTCCGGCGTGGCGTAGCGCGGCGCGCCCGGGGTGCCCTGGCCGGGCAGCGGCGCCGGGCTGGTGAGCAGCGCCGGGGAGCCGCCGTCCTCCGAGTGGTTCTGCCCCACGCAGATCTGCTCGGCCCCGTGGCGGGGGAAGTTCTCGCAGCGCAGGCGCTCGGGCCACTGGAAGCCGAACTTGTTCATGAGCGCCTCGCAGCCCTGGCGCGCCCGCTCGCAGATGGAGCGGCAGGGCGGGATGGCCTGCTCCAGCACCGTGCACACCGGCGCGTACATGGAGCACAGGAAGAACTTGAGCTCGGGCGAGCACTGCACCTTGACCAGCGGGTAGAACTGGTGCACCTCCAGCCCCGCGTCCTCCTGGTTGGTGTGGCCCAGCAGGTTGGGCATGATGGTCTGGTTGTAGGCGATGTCGGTGCAGAGCGGGATGGAGATGGGCTGGCAGAAGCCGTGGTCCGGGATGGAGATGCCCTTCTCCCCATGGAACTGGCCCCGGCCCAGGCCCAGCACGTTCAGCCACAGCAGTAGCGAGGCCAAGCGGTGCAGGACGCTGGACGGGCGCATGGTGCCGGTGCCGCCGCCGCCGCCTTTCCCGAGCTAACGCGCCTCGGGCGGGCCGAGCGAGCGAGCGCCGCGCGGAGCAGCCGCCCCTCCTGGGCCCGGCAAAGTTCGCGCTGGAGTCTGCAGCCGAGTCCCGGGACAGCCGCCGGGCGCCCTGCCCGCAGCCAGACCGGCCAAGTCCCGGAGCTCCCTCCTTTGTGCGGCTCCAGCCCCCTTCAGCCCCAATTAGCCGGTTTCAAGGGGGCCCCCAGCCCTGGAGCGCGCAGACTCCAGTCCAGCCCCCTCCTCCCCCCAGGGAGCCTTGAAACGGCCTGGCCCGGGCCCTAAGCCCCTTCCCAAAATTTCCTCGCGGCCAATCAGATTCAAACGCAGGGACCAGCCCCGAGGGCAGGATTGGTCAACCGCCGCATAATGAGCTCCGAGAGCAGCTGCCAGGGGACCGCCCCTCGCCTTGGCCGCTTTAAAGGGGCAATTGCTTATTAATCAGCGTCCCGATTAGTATTTTGCAGATACATTGATCTTCTGGGCCGGAAGCGCCCCTCCCCCCAGCGGGCTCCCGCACACACACAACTTCCCTAAGGACAACACACCCAGCGCTGCCAGCTCCGGGGGCCGGAGAGCGCCCGGCAATTTCATCCGAAGTTCGGGTGTTTTCTCCGGTGCTGCTTTTCCGTCGTCCCGACTGGCTCAAATGTCTCGCTGCAGCCAGAGCTCGGCCCGGCCGGGTGCAAAGACACTTCACCCCCCTCCCTGGGGTGGGTTTGCTGCTTTCCCTGGTTCTACAAACCCTCCCACAGACCCCTTTCCTGCGCGACCCTTTTCAAATAGCAACATTGTACGGAAAAGCTCCCGTTTGAAAAGTCTTTTGACATCGTCCAGCCAAAACTTGTGAGCATCCAGGTTTAAAACGCGCGGGGGAGATTTCTAGATTGTGTCTTAAACTATGTAGGGATGAGACGCTGCTGTGACCAGTCGGATTTTTACTGCTCCCCTGATTCTGCAGAGACTGGGCACGTGCTTAACTTGCTGCACGGGGGGATCCAGGCGGAAAGTTAAGCACGAGCCAGAACCAGTGTCTGTGCGCTCAGGCAAGGCCTGATCCTGGACTGTGCAGCACAGGGGATGGGCAGTGAACAGGGTCACGGTGCAGGTTCTGGGCCCTGGCTCTGCATGGTTCTCTCAGGGCCATGCATAGCTAATCTAACAGCTGGGGATGGAGGGAGGGCGTTGGACACGTGTCTCTTTACACCTACATGTCCTAGATCGTTATTTCTTTTAAAATAGGTACATTTGAAAGTGTTTATACTCGATTCCCACCCCCCCCCCAAAAAAGCCCTCTGTGAAATGCGACCCTGTCTCTTTAAGACTCTCTTTAATGGCTAGGTTGTTCACTGGCATATAATTGTCCCTTTCACTAACAAAGAACTCCATTATGGCCCCTTTTTTCGGTGGCACCTCAAAGTGAGAAAATTCTTTACCACGCTGGTGTGAGCAAAGAGGGGAGGTTCCTGGGGCTGGGATGCGGTGGTAAAGCAGAGGGCCTGCTGCTCCCAAAGTAACCCTGAATTATGCAAAGCAAAGTTTAGGCACATTCACAAGTGGGTCTTAAACGAAAGTTAATCACGTCTCTCTTTCGCAGGAGCTGGGGGCTGTGAAATGTCTGGCTGCTAGGGCCTGCTCGCAGCTGGGGCAAAAACCTGGGGGGGGGGGCGGGGGTTGCTGCAAAACCAAAATCAATCCGGAGTCTGGTGCTTGTAGGATTCCGACCAAAGGTGCAGATCGAGCCCCTGGGGGAGCGGGCCTTAGAAAGGTGCCGGGGTACCGGGCCCCGATTCTGCCGAGCAGTCCGGATTGTTTTCCATCTAATGGGTCATCCTGTCCCTCACCTCGGGTGCTGAGGGGCATGGGCCTGGAAAGGCTGCCTGGCCCTGGACTTGGAGCTAACAACCGAGCTGCAAAGGGGCTGGAGAAAGTCCTCCCCTCCCCCCCGCCCCGTTTGCAAACTGGTTTCTTGCTCTGATTTAGCTGTCACCTGACCTGGGCCAAAGCCCTCTGGCCCAGGTGAAGCTGCGCCCAGTGGCAAGGAGTCCCACCAGCCCTTTTCTCTGACCGGTGAACAGTGCCTGGGGCCAGCAGTCCTACAGTGACCCCGTCCTGCCTGCTCCCCACACGGGTGGGACCCCTGGGAGTCCCTGCAGGGGTGCCCTACCCCCCCCCCCCGGCCTCTGGGGTTTGGATTGATTTAGCCGAGCCGTGGCCCTTGAGCAGAGCTGACTTTTCCAGCACACTCAGGATGTCAGGAGCTGGGTGCGGGTTGCTGGGTTGTTATTCCCGGGGTGATGTATATGGAGAAAGCTCTTCTCATGACTTGCTTTGGAGGGAAGTTTCAGCCTGCTGGGGGGCTGGGCAGCAGGACCCCTCAGAAGTGCTGCAGGCCTGGAGGAAGGCACCCGGGTTTCCAACCAGTGCTCCCTGTAACGAGTCTCTGGTGCTAGACGCAGGTGTCAGGGCATGTTAGCGGCTGGGTTCATTTGCCTTCCCCTGATGGGGCTTTGGGGCATGTAACAGCAGAAAGACGCCTCGCAGGCCCCCCGCGCCTCCCCAATGACTGACCATTCCTCTGGAGCACTTTGGCCTTGTCTCTGGCCTCTTCGCGCGTCCCATCAGCATCTCCACTGCCCTGTCCCTTTCCCATCCTCCCCCAGCCTTGTTCCAAAACTCCCCTTCCCCACCCGCAGGGACAGGACATGGGCTTTTCATTTTCTCAGCCGGTTTTTGCCTCTTCCCCTCTCCAAGTCTCTCTCCGTTTTCTGTGCTTTGGCCACACAGCCCTGGCCCTTCATGCCTGCTCTTTCCTTTCCCTCTTGTCTGCTCTGATCCACAGCCAACGCTGGACCAGGATCTTCTGCCACTCAGACCTCGGAGTGAGACTCACCCAGCCAAAGGCCCGGTCTCTCACGGCCTGGTCATTAGTTTGGTTGACAGTAGCCCTGCTGTGCCAGGCGCTGCACATGGAGTAAGAGACATTCTCCACCCCACCCCAAGGCAATGAGACAAAGGATGTGTCATCCTCCCAATGCCTGAGAGGGGGTCTGCGGGCAGAGAGAGCCAGCGCCAGCCGGGCTGTCAGCTCTTTGGCACAACTGGCCCTTGTGCAGATGCCTCTCTGGGAGCTGAGCTCTTCTGGCTCCAGGCGGGCGTGCTGAGCTTCTTTGACAATCCGGCCCCATCGGATGTACCCAAGGGCCCCCAGGAGGCTGGTCAGAGCTGGGGCCTGAAGCTAGACATCCTAAGTCTCTCACCAGCCCATCCTGCTTCATTGTCTGCCAGGTTATGGGTGGGCTTTTGACAAGTGCCCTTCAGTTTTTAATTGCTCCCTTTTATCCAAGGATCTCAGAGCCATGTCACAGCCCTTACATAATCCTCCAGCAAGTAGCCCGTAAGCCCCTGTGTGGTAGGTCCTGTGGTATCCCAGAATTTCACAGCAGCAGTGAGGGCAGATCTCAGATCCTCCTGCTCCAAGAGCCCAGTCCCCAGGCACTTGAGCTAAAGGTGAATCTCTATTAACGATATAGAGTCTATGACACACAGGTGAGCAGTTCTATTTCCAGCTAGTAAAAGACAAAGGCATGAGTAGAACCCTGAATTTCCTGGATTCCAGGCCTATATTCAGGCTGTTAGACCAGAGGTTCCCATCTTTACCATACTGGCCTGCATTCCAACTGGTCCCCCCCTCCCATGTAGCCAGGCCTCCACTCTCCAGCAATCTGGGATGGGCAGGGTGTTTATGACCGCCAGGTTGAGAACCCCTGGACTAGACCATGCCAGCTCATAACAAACATGTTGATGGATCAAAATAGAACATCTGCCTCCTGTGCTCTTCCCCCATGTCTCACACCCTCACGTGGCATGACTAGACACAATGCAGCTGGAGCATGGGTCCCAGCCATTCCTTTCCTGGGCAGGGAAGCAGGGGGAAGCTTTGCCCTGCTGCTGCACTCTCCGGCTGAGAGGACTTTCCTCCCCAGGGCCCTCAGCCCAGCACACCTTGGCCATACAAACGGTGCAAGGGATCTGTTCCCGAATGCAAACACAGCCTCTGCTCCATACCAGAGTGGCTTAGGTGGGTGTTACCGTGTCCCCGGCGCATGCACACATCCCATGCCCACGTCTCATCGGCAGTGTCTTGGGACCCAGAGATGCCAAGACTTCAGAGAGCTGTGCTTAACCTTTGCAGGCTGGGGGCGTTAGTTAGCACCGTAGGATGTGCTATGCTCAATCGGGCTGTCACGCCACCAGGTCAGATCCTACCTGTGGTGGTGCCCAGTGAGTGTTGGATGTCTCAGATGAACGGGCACCTCCACCGTAACATCCCTGCTGTTATGTCACATCTACACGGAAGGGGAATTTCTTCCAGATCGTTATGGTGATCTGCTGACGCCCTGGCACGTGGCAGTGGATTGCCTCAGGCTGCCTTGCAAGGAACCTTTCTGAAAATCCCCTGCTCCAGCTCTAGTCCCAGATCAGCTCCACTAGTGCTACCAGAGAGCTCTTACCACTGCCGCTAGGGGACATTTATACGGCAGCAGAACCCAGCATCGGCTCTGGCCCCTGCTGTGCTGAGTGCGGCACATGACAACCCCTGGCCCAATGAGTTTTGCCCAGAACGCCCGGTGCGACTCACACACCAAGAACTCACTGCGGAGAGACCCTCGGATGGATCCAATTTGAGGGCTTTTATTTTTTTCAGTGGGTAACTTAGGGACCACAATCCCACTGAATGGCAATGGGACAAAGCCCCACAAGCCAATGAGGAGTCCTGTGGCACCTTAAAGGCTACCACGAAAGCTTAGGCCCAAATAAATCTGTTAGTCTTGAAGGTGCCACCAGACTCCTCGTTGTTTTTGTGGATACAGACTAACACGGCTCCCCTGATACTTGGCACCATGCAAGGCACTGCATTTAGCCGTATGAAGTGGAAATCCATCAAAATCATGAAAAAACTCGCACCGATACAGACAGACATCATCTTCCTCTCCAAGTGCAAACAGACCGACATCATACCAGATGGACTGAAGGCAAAAAATCCATTGCAATCGATATAACTACACTGACTATGGGGAGAGACTGTGCCACACACTCTCAAAGAAATGGAGGAACCACCTGATCAGCATCCTGTACAGCAGACAGGAGAAGATCAAGAATGAGCTCTCAGAACTGGAGACTCTCATACAATACCAGCCTTCTACACAAACTTCCACGTGGCTGGACTTTACAAAAAC